TATGTGTATTTATAAGAGGAAATCTGGAAGGATGCGTGCGAAATATTAGTGATTATTTTCTATGGCCAGATTATAAGTATTGATTTTTCTTATTAGTGTTTTGCTGCATTTTCCCAGATAGTCTACAATAAACTTTTATTACTTTGGGAATCATAAAATCAGTTCTTTTTAGTTGGTTAAGGAAGCATGGGTACAGTTTGCCTGCTCCAGCCTCCACTGCAGGGAGAGAGATGCCTGCTTATCTACCTCCCAGCTGATGTGGTATCCAGATGACCAGAAGGCTGGGGAGTGGGATGAATTACCTCCTATGCAGTGATAGTGTGGAGGCTCACATGCCCAGTGAGTTGGGCTGGGCTGTAGCACAACAGGTGGCTGACCCCAAGCCCTAGCACATCTGGCATCTCTCTGCCTGCCCTATGAGCAACTGTGTGGCTCTAGGAGGCTGGAGTCACACAACCCAGATGTTGCTGGAGGAGACAGATTTGCCTGCAAGAATCTAGTGGGAAATGAAATCAAATTAGTCTGGGAAAAGAGCCCCAAGTCCCCTAGCTCAGAGTCACCCTGGGGGAACTTTAGAGCAGATAACCCATAAACCCCTTTCCCTAGCTCTGAGCGTTGGGGATCCTCAAAGTACACTTTGCATAGAACCTGGCAGCTGGAGGGCCCTACAGTCTGGGCCTTCCACCTTCTCATTACCACCTCTTCTCATTAATAACACACGCACGTTATGGAGGTAGAGGGTGTACATTTAACACATTCCCCTGTGTTCCCTCAGGTGTTGACTGAGCCCTTCTATTTTTTTATTTTTATTTTTTAAATATATTTTATTGATTTTTTACAGAGAGGAAGGAAGAGGAATAGAGAGTTAGAATCATCGATGGGAGAGAAACACTGATCAGCTGCCTTCTGCACACCCCCTACTGGGGATGTGCCCGCAACCAAGGTACATGCCCTTGACCGGAATCGAACCTGGACCCTTCAGTCCGCAGGCCGACGCTCTATCCACTGAGCCAAACCGGCTAGGGCAGACTGAGCCCTTTTATTACAGAGATCATCTGTAATGTTCTCCGGTTTATTTTTGTAAGCTTTTATTTTAATGGATTGATTTTTAAAAAGTGAATCATTCTTACAAGTCAATGACATAAAAAGAGACTGTTTTAGAAGAAAACAACTCAAAACACATAACAAGTTGTGAACCTTGTTTGAATTCTGATCCAAACCAAGCAACCGCAAGAAGATATCTTTAAAGCAGAGAAATTTGAATATGAACTGAGTACTGTATTAGGTGATATTGAGAAACCATTGTTAATGCTATTATCACTACCCAGAATTCTCTTGTTTATGCATTGCTATCTCCCCTTACGAGAATAGAAGCAGGATGTGGTCTGTCTCATTAGAGGAAGGAGGCAGTAGCACAGTGGTTAATAGTGTGACTCCACTTGATCATCTACTGTGTGATGTTGGGCAAGTTACTTAATCTCTCTGTGCCTTTTCCCCCCTAATCTATAAAACGGGGGAAATAAAACAGGGCTGGCAAAAGTAGGTTTACATAATACAAATAAATAATAAATAAATAATACAAGAATAAACTGTTTCACATACTCCGAACGGTAAACCTACTTTTGCCCATCCCTGTATAACCCAAAGCATGGGCTTAATTTGACAATTAAATGAGTTAATATTTATAAAGCACTTAGGACAATATCTAGTACCAAGTACACTTATAAGTACCTGTTCAGGATTGTCCCAAACCCTGGGTTACAACTATATTCTATATGAATACAAGGGAAACCTTGGATTTGACAAGGAAAACTCAAGGACGATAGCCTAACCAGGTGCAGGTGACTCTGGCAAGCCAGGCAGGGGCAGGACATGGACATAGAAAACAGAGAACAGTGGGGAAAGGCCAGAAGCCTGGCTTCTGAAGCCAGACTGGGTTCAGATCCTGCCTCTACAACCACTGAGGCCTGTGACTGAGCAAGTCACCCCTAAGCTCCCTGGGCTTCAGGTTATCACAGCAGGTACCACAGAGGAGTGAATGGGACACTCTGATCTTAGCATAGTCAGCCCTCACTGAGCAGCACACTATTCTTACTGTTTTCACTATTCTTACTGTTTTGAGAGAGGGAGAGAGAGAGCGAGAGAGAGAAACATGGATCAGTGGCCTCCCGCACGCACCCCGATCGGGATTGAACCTGCAACCTGGGTATGTGCCCTGACTGGGAATCAACCCAACACTTTTTGATGCACTGGACTACGCTCAACCAACCGAGCCACACCGGCCAGGGGGCAGCACACTATTCTAATTAACTCATGGTTTCAGGGCAGCCAAAGCCTTTGTGTTCTGTAGGCCTCAGTTTTCCCATGCCCACGCCTCTGGTACAAGAAGGAAGGAAAAGGAGGGTTGACATTTGCTGGGCACCTATGCGGAGGCCAAGAGAGGTCTCCTTGCTGCCCAAGCAGGGTCTGCCGGACTCAAACCAGCTGGATCTGGTTCCAAATTCACTCTCCAAGCTGCTGCTCCTCAGGCGCTCCCAGGAAAAAGCCCTTGGAGAGCGATCTAGATGAAAGCCACCCTTTGACACTCAAGTTTCAGGAGACGAGGGATCCCCAGCCGTGATCTCGTGATGCCGCCGAGTGAGGCTGGAGCCCCGGAAGACACTTTAAAACCAGTGCCTGGGGCAGCGATGCCCTTTGCGCGTTCAGATAAACCATCCCCTTCAGCCCCGCCCCGCCCCCCAAGTTGCAAGATTAATGCCCCCCGCCAACTGTGCCACTGGCTCAGCCCCAAGCCCGCCTAAGGTGGGGGCAGCCGCGCGGCGAGGGGACGAACCAACATACCCCCAAGCTGGGGGTCCTTGGCTGACCTGGCGAGGCTTCCGAGGCTCCGAAAAGGCTTCTTGTCTCTTCCAAGTTCCACTCCACAGCCTGCTGTCTCTTCCCTGGGAGTCCGCACGGGCTGATTTGTTCCGTTGAGACCCCAAAGTTACTAAGGGGCACCCGGTGATACCAGGGATGGATGGGGCTTTACGGATACCAAGATATTGGCGGCACCTGGGGACCCACGGCGGAGGAACCTGTAAACAGGGCAGGAGTTCCCGTAAAAAAGAGAGGCGTCATAAGATGTTGGGGTGGCGGCGGTCCTGGCGCTACAAGGACCAGATCCGTCCTGACCCGGGGTCCCCCGCCCGCACCAGCCCCGTGGCCCCCGGCGCTACCTGTGCGGCCGCCGGCGGCCTGCGCGCAGTTCGGCGCTGCCCGCTGCGAGCGGAGCGCACACAATGAGGCGCTTTCAGACGTGGCTGCGGTCCCGAGCCGGCCGGCGGGAGCCAGGGTGGGAGGGAAGAAAGAAGCCGGTTGGCCCCCGGCTCCGACTACCAGCCCCACACGGGCCGGGGGCCACGCCTTGGGGGTGGGACAGCTGGCTAGGGGCGGGCGCCGGAGGGCCCCGGATAAGAGGAGGCACAGGTGGGCTCTGGAGTTGCAGGAGGCGCACTGTTTGGGGGAGGGCTCTAGCAGAGTCACCTCTCATCTCACTAATTGACCAAAACAGCCCCAAAAAGGGAGGTTCCCAGGAGCACAAAAGGCCCTTGTGAAGGAAAAAATTAATCTTAATTTTGCCCCTCCTCGCTCTCGGTGGCATTCTCGCAGCGAAGTGACTTGGAATCCAAACCAGCTTCCCAAGGCCCCAGCCTCAGCCCTAAGTCAAGTACGTACAAGGCACCTTGATGCCAGGTGAACCCACGAAGTAGTGGAGCTGTGAGGGGCTGGGACACCAGGTGGCCCGCAGGAACTAGGCCCGAAGCTGGGTGGCTGCCCCTCTCCTCCCCTCCCTGCTCTAGCCAAGAAGGCAGCGAATCCCCGGATAAATACAGGATATGTTTCAGTAAATAAAGCAGATCGCCCCCGCCCCCGCCGCCCCCCCCCCCCCCCCCCCCGATAAAACAGCAGAGTCCAGGCATCTGAAAATAGTAGACAATTCTGACCTCTGGGAATCTGCGGTGGGTTCTAAAAGAAGTCTGCTGCGAAAGTATAGATTAGTGCATTCTTTCCAGGTTGTGGCTTGGCAGGATGAGTTAAAATCCTTAAGAACAGCCATAAGCTTTCTGAATTAATAATTCCTTTCTAGGATCTATCTTAAGGAAATAAACCAGCAACAAGGATTTGTACACAGGGTTCAAAGAAGTGTATGACAGCAAAATATATAACAAAATATGTGTACCAGAATGCCAACAGTGGTAACTTCTGGGTAGCGAAGTTACTACTTTATTTTCTTTAGGTTTAATTACACATTTCCCCCAATAGACATTTAGAACTGCTCTGATCAGAAAGAAACTTCTTTTTAAAAGCATGAACATGAGAGAAAGGGGAAGATATAGAATTGCTTTGTTTACCTTAATGATGGGACCCAAGTGGGGCCTTAAAGGCCTCACCTGATTCAAACAGAAACTGGATAATCATTTCAAAAAATTAGGGATCGCCCCCTCCAAATATTGAGTGAGGCTGTGTAAAGGCTTCTTGTCGTCTCTTCCAAGTTCCACTCCACAGTGGAGCCACTTGGGGAGTAAGTGAGCTGGAGCCCCGGAAGACACTTTAAAACTAGTTACTCCAAATATTGAGTAACCTGACTTAGCTATTGGTACAACTCAGTGGATAAAATCCTGTATATTTCTCACGTTTTCTCTTGCAACTACACTGTGTGATTCAGGTTCAGAAGCTACGAATATCTGATCTGTAAATATGACATTCATCAGACACAGTTGTAATTTTCCAGCCTGTGGTTTCCACATGCAATGTGGATTCCACCAAACACTCACATTTACTTGGGGCTGGACCAGGGGACTTTTGCCAAAGAGCTAACAAAAGCTCCAAGGTCTTTGAGCAGAACCCTGGCAAAGCAAGGCTGCTGGAGAGTAACTTGGAGAAATGTGTGCTACCTCTGCCCTCCCCACTCTTCCCCTTTCCAAACCCGTCCCCTCTAAAAAGCCACATGCAGCCTCCATTTTGAACATTTTAATTAGAAAGTTATGAAACACATGGTTTGTTATACAAATTTTGTCTTACATTAAAACAATTTAATAAAATGCAAAGCAATGTCTATACATCTTTAGCTGTCTTTCCATGTCTCCTTATCTTTTTGTAATTCAGAAAATTCAGCAACCAATTTTCATTGATTGAAATCTCAAAAAATTTTTAGGCATATAAATAAGCAGTCCTAAAGTTTAAAAGAAAAACCAGAGGGGCCACTGTTAGGATTTTGTGTGCTTGAACACTTCAAAATAGCTTTGTTTCCAAAATACTTATTTTAGTCAGTCTGAAAGAAAAGGTGGTTTGGAAATAAAAACTGAATCTCCAAGGTAAACTGAGGCACACACTGAAGTGTGTGTTTATGACTGGGCCTGAAGCACAGGTCATAGTGGGTGTGTCCTTTCAGTACCAATGACATCTTGGGATCATAAAGCAGATCTATCCATCCTCTGACGAACCCCATGTTTTCTTAGGGCGAAAAGAAATCAGTCTCTGTGTGTAACAAAGACCTGTCCCAGCACTCTTCTCCTGCAGACACTCGCTTAGTCATGAGCGTCATCTGACTGGACTGCCCGCCATTCTGGTCTGGGCCAGGCTGGACTGAGCTGCGTAGGCTAGCATCCTCTTCCTCCCCGCACTGCTCCTTGCGTCCCTCCCAAAGCGGCCGGCTCTGATGGGCACCCTGTTCCTTAGTCAAGGGAAATACAAGGAGCTGGGCTTCCCGCTAGCCCTCCAAATAAACTCTGTGGTTGTTGGGCAGGGAGCCAATACCAACAACAGGTCCTCTGTCACCCATGTCCTTTTCAGGAAGGGGGAGAGGCTGTCGAGAAAGAGGAGTGGCAAGTGTCCAGGCTGTTGGGTGAGGACCAGAGAGAAAAAAAAACGGTTACAATCCTTATTCCCCCCACAGTTGCCCAGAGGATTGTGAATGAAACAGCACTTCTGACTTCAGCCTGCTACTCCAGGGGCATAGACAGAGAGCAAAAGGCAGGGCAAAGAGCCAGCCACATAAGGGCAGGATAAAGGGCTTTTCAGCTGAGCTGATGACAGAAGATGTCTGTTAGACTGAGGGCAGGTGGATGGTCCTAGTGTCCTCAAGTTGCCCACCCTCACGTGGGTGCACACACATGTTCTTGAGCACTCCCTCTCTCTCCAGTTCTCCAGTTAAAGGCCTCTCAGTTCTGGAAATCAAAGTTCTGAATGGGGGAAATGCTAATGATTTGCATATCTGTTCTGAGAGCCCTGAAAAGAGTCAAAAGTGCCTTACAATTGGGGGAAGAAATGCATAGCATGTTTCTCGGTTCATGGAAGCAAAGGTCTGCTTGACTAGAGGTGATACTCTTTCCAACATGTCTCAATTGATTATAGTTTTCTCTTGAAATTCAAGTCTAGGGCAAAAAAAGGGGGGCGGGAGAGCAAATTATAGCCTTTTCAGACCTTCCCACAAACTAGTCTCTGATGATTCTGGTAGGCACTTAGAAGATATGGAATTTGTGTAGAGAAAAATTAGAAAGAACTCTTCTTTGTCGCTGGTAGGAAAAACACACATGCTGTCACGTGTCCATGGGCCCTTTTCAGAAGTGTCCTAAGGTGGCGTTCTCAGAAGACAATATGAGGTAGCCAGGTCCTGCTTAGAGTCATGGTCTTCTTACGATAAGTGCTGCTTATAGAGTTCTCCCTGGAGCATTGCTGTTACAGGGATTGTGGTGACCACTTGATTCTGAAACACAAATCTTTTTATTCTTTCAAACACCCAGAGGAAGATAAGTAGGATACTGACATACTGGATCCAGGCAAACTTTATAATTTCCCAGAATCCTGGTAGATAAGTATACACAGTTAAGGAATCTCAGATGACATTTTCTAAGTAAATGTTACCAGTAAACGGGTAAGTTTAGACAGGATATGGCAAAAATGTTTCAAATACCTTTAAGATAAAAGGGATAACAAAAGATTATTAGGACATAAATATGGATGATTCTGGCCTAGAAAAATTGCTCATAAAGAAATAGGAACAGGAAATGAATTTCCCAGCCCCCACCCCCGTATGAATAGCAGACAGAGTGGTTTGTGTGGGGCTGCAATGCTGTAGCAATTTTAACTTAAGGCTTCCCACATCTGTTTCTTCTTGGGACAAGTGAGGAATCCTTTTTCCTTTTTTGAAACTGAGCTACTGTTGGCTTCTTAGCAGAAAGGATATGATATGACTTCCACAGGGTATCGGATGACAGCATTAATCACAAATGGAGCTTCGGCAGCCCTTCCCACCAGCCAGATGGGGTTGGGGACAGTCAGAATGGTGGTTACTGCAATACAATCAGGAATTAATCCACAAATGCTCTCTTTGGCAATAAAATATCGAGAGCTATGCCCAGGTGGTGTGGCTCAGTGGTTGAGCATCAACCCATGAACCAGGAGGTCAGTCAGGGCACATGCCCAGGTTGCCAGCTCGATCCGCACTAGGGTTGTGCAGGAGGCAGCTGATCGATGATTCTCTCTCATCATCTTTCTATCTCTCCTTTTCCCTTCCTCTCTCTGAAATTAGTAATAGCATATATAAAAATATTTTAATTAAAAAAATACATGTAAACTTTAAAAAAAAATTGAGGGCTATGAAAATACTCTTTTGACCTCTCAGGCAAATTCTGTACTTCAAAACTCATATCTAAGAAATGATTTAAAAGGAAAGAAGTGAAATTGAATATGCAAAGTTGCTTACACTTTGTTAAAATACTTGTCAAAACACTTATGTTAAAAAAATGTGGAAACAGCCTACGTGTTCTTCTGTAGTTGTTGAGTGGCTAAGCAAAGGAATACGATGCTACCACTAAAAATAACACCAATTAAAACTTTGTAGCAACATGGGAAAAATATTTATATTACAAAGTAAATAGAAATAAACTGGCCCTGGTCGGTTTTTCTCAGTGGTCAGAGAGTCAACCACAGACCAAAGGGTCGCAGGTTTGATCCCCAGCCCCAGCTGGAGCATGTATGGGAGCAACCAATCAACGTGTCGCTCTCACAAGGATTTTTTTTTCTCCCTCCCTCCCATTTACTCTCTCTAAAAGCCAATGGAAAAAATATCCTCGGGTGAGGATTAACAACAACAACAAAAAGAAATAAACTGGATCTAAAAGTGTCTCTAAATTATGATAGCAGCTATATAAAAAGATTTGCATATAGCCAGGCAACTTTGGCTCGATGGATAGAACATCAACCTGCGGACTGAAGGGTCCGGGTTTGATTCCGGTCAAGGGCACATACTTGGGTTGTGGGCTGGATCCCCAGTGTGGAGTGTGCAGGAGGAAGCCGATCAATGATTCTCTCTCATCATTAATGTTTCTATCTCTCTCCCTCTCCCTTCCTCTCTGAAATCAACTGAAAAAATAAAAGAGATTTGCATATAGAAAAAAATTTTAAAAACTTGATTTGTAGTGTTTTAGTTTAGTTTCAATGTTTTTTTGTTTTAAAATTTATTTTTAAAATAATGCTGTTCATGTATTACATAAAATCAGAAAGAAATACTGGAATTGCAGTCCCGCCACTTGTTAAGTGTCTGTGCTTAGTATCCATGATGTCTGGTTGCCAAGCAATACTTAACATGTCTTTAGGGAAAACCTCAGACCACCAACCAGCCAAGCAGGCCGAGTCAAGTGCACGGGATGGCCTAAGAGCCTCACCTCAGTAAGGGATGGACACACTCTGCCTTATAGCCAGAACCTTGGGTGCATCGCATCTATTCTCCTAATTCAGTTGCTGGTATGGGGTGAGTCACTCACATTCCCTATTTCCATCTGAAAACTAGAAACAGTAATTTGTCTTTGGCTTCTTTTACAAGTAAATGGAACGCCTCAATTAAGCTTATTTTTAAAAAAGGAAATCCATCAAACCAGTGGTGGAATAGAGATGGCAATTAATTGGCACTAACCTGATGGATCATAGAAGTGGCGGTGGCGTAGACTGTGGGTCTTTAGATCAGGAGAAAAAAGGACAAGCCCTGGGTTGCCTGTTTGTCTCACATCACTGAGCATTCATTGGTTTTGACATTTTCATCATGATAAGGATTCCAATTCTGTTTCTCTCCAAAGACCCCCACTAACCTGGAAAGTCTTTGTGAAGCACCTGAATGAAATTTACTCACTGTTCCTTTCTTGATAGGCAGCAACAATATGCGTGAGGTCATAGTCATGGGCAAAAGGACTGGTTCCGTTGATGACAGACACCTGGGATATAGGAGGAGGCCCTGATGTAAGCACCGGAACAGCTTCTTCTCTGGCCTTTCTACCCTCCTGCCCGCCCAGGACCACCTTCTTGTTCTTGGTGACCTATTCCAGTCTTACAATAATTTATTTGCTCTCAATCTTTCCACTTGTGGGATGGAAACAAGGGGTCAATATCTACTTTTCATAGGTTTTTAAGCTATTTATAAAATACCTCTCTCTATTCCAATGTCAGAAATAAATCCTTTAATTTTTAAAAATAGACCATATTTTCACCTTCTTTGTCTTGTCCTTGCTCTTCTCTAGATGATCTTTCAAATGTAGATTTGGAAAAAGGATAAAGTGCAAATAGTAAGCATATAATCCTCTGAAGAAGGAAATGACTTCCTACCCCCTAGTATCATATTCCCATTGATATGGGAATAAAAAGTGCTATGGGTTTCTAGGTGAAGGCAGATTCAAATGCTAAAGACTTAAGGGAGATATTTGCCAAAACCGGTTTGGCTCAGTGGATAGAGCATTGGCCTGCGGACTGAAGGGTCCCGGGTTCGATTCCGGTCAAGGGCATGTACCTTGGTTGCAGGCATATCCCCGGTGGGGGATGTACAGGAGGCAGCTGATCGATGTTTCTCTCTCATCGATGTTTCTAGCTCTCTATCTCTCTCCCTTCCTCTCTGTAAAAAATCAATAAAATAAAAAAAAAAATAAAAAATAAATAAAAAGACTTAAGGGAGATATTTAAAAATGTAAAATAGCCTGGCTGGTTTTGCTCAGTAAAATAGCCTGGCTGGTTGAGCATCAATCCATGAACCTAGAGATCACAGCTTGATTCCTAGTCAGGGTACATGCCCAGATTTTGAACTTGGTCCCCAGCGGGAGCGTGCAGGAGGCAGCCAATCAATGATTCTCTCTCCTCATTGAGGTTTCTATCTCTTTTTCTCTCTCCCTTCCCTTTGCTGCAATCAATTAAAAACAACAACAAAAAAGTGAAATAAAAAAAAGGGTTCCATTCCAAGATAGCAACAAAGGAACTTCCTGAACTGACCTCCTCCCACTGACAAACTAAATCTACAACTATACATGGAGAAAATCCCTCCGAAAGAAATTCAGAAACTTAGTTGAGTGACTCCTACACATTGGGCAAATGAGAAAATATCCACATCACCCACATTGAAATGATCTTAGCAAACCCTCAACTACTAGGAGCCACAAGAACACTGAAGGCAGCTTGGAAAATGACAAAGGCTTGACAGCAACAAAGAACTCTGGCTGAGCTGATTGGTAAGATTAATTTCCTACATGAGTCCACTCTGTCAAGACTGGGAGGGAGGGATGTTTTATCTAATGCACAGAAACCAACAGAGAGTCAAGGAAAATAAAGAAATAGAGGAATATGTTCCACACAAAAGAATAAGGTAAAACTCCAGAGGCAGACCTTAATAAAATGGAGATAAGTGACTTATTTGAAAAAAGAATTTAAAATATCAGTCACAAAGATGCTCACTGATGTCAGGAGAATAATTCATGAGCAAAGTAAAAAAGGCATTATAAGAAAATCACAGCTAAATATACCTGATGAACAGAAATGCAAAATCCTCAACAAAACATTAGCAAACAAAATTCAACAATACATTAAAAGGATCAGATACCATGATCAAGTGGGATTTATTCCAAGGATGCAAGGATGGCTCAACATCCACAAATTAATAGATGTGATACACCACATTAATAAAATGAAGGATAAAAATCTTGCCTGGCTGGTGTGGCTCAGTGCTTGAGTCTCAACCTATGAAACAGGAGTTCACAGTTTGATTCCTGGTAAGGGCACATGCCCGGTTGCAGTGGTGTGTATGTGTGTGTGTAGGATTCTGTTGCATCATTGATGTTTCTGTCTCTCTCTCCCTCTCCCTTCCTCTCTGAAATCAATAAAAGAATATTTTTTAAAAATCATCTTAATAGACGCATAAAAAGCATTTGACAAAATTCAACATGCATTTATTAAAAAAAACACCTCTCAACAAAGTGGGTACAGAGGAACATACCTTAATATAATAAAGGAGATATATGACAAGCCCACTGCTAATATCATGCTCAATGGTGAAAAGCTGAAAATTTTCCCTCCAAGATCAGGAAGAAGACAAGGATGCCCACTCTCACTTTTATTCAACACAGTATATGAAGTCTCAGCCAGAGCAATTAGGCAAGAAAAAGAAAAAAAGTCATCCCAATTGGAAAGGAAGATGTAAAACTGTCACTATTGGCCTATGACACAATATTATATAATAGAACACCCTAAAGACTCTACCAAAGAAACTGTTAGAACTTATAAATGAATTAGTAAAGTTGCAGGATACATAATCGATACACAAAATCACTAACAATGAAGTATTAGAAAGAGAAATTACAAAAAAAAAAACAACCCATTACATTGCATCAAAAGTAATATAAAATACATAGAAGTAAATTTAACTAAGGAGGTGAAATATCTGTACACTGAAAACTATAGGACATTGATAAAAGAAACTGAAGAAGGCACAAATTAATGGAAAGTTACTCTGTGTTCATATGTTAAAAGAATTAACGCTATTAAAATGTCCATACTACCCAAAGCTACCTACAGAATCAGTGGAATCCCTATCGAAATCCCAGCGTTATTTTTCACAGATGTAGAAAAAAACAATCCTAAAGAATGTATAGAATCACAAAAGACCCCAAATAGCCAAAGCAATCTTGAGAAAGAGAAAGCCGAAGGCATCAAACTTCCTGATTTAAACTGTATTACAGGCTGTTGGGCTTCTCCGCCTGCCGCGGATACAGTGCGTTGGCCACGGGCGCACCCAGAGCAGCCAGACGCCGGCGCCAGCGCGGGCTAGCAGGCGCCAACGCGTCGGGGTCGGGGTCCTTGTGTCGTGAAAATGACGCTAGTAGCTGTCACCGTGACAGCAGGTGCAGCGCTTTAGCCCCCGGTGGGCTCGGCGGCTGCCTGGCCAGTCTCCCTTCGCCCCTTCGCCCCTAGCCCTTTCCTTCCTGGACCCAGCGCCAACCAGCGACCCTTAAGCCCACCATCGCAGCGGGCCATGGCAGTCTCGCAGCGGGCCATGGCATCCTCGCAGCAGGCCATGGCAGTCTCGCAGCGGGCCATGGCATCCTCGCAGCAGGCCATGGCAGTCTCGCAGCGGGCCATGGCATCCTCGCAGCAGGCCCTGGCAGCCTCGGCTTCGCAACAGCCCATTAAGGGAATTCTGAAGAACAAGAGTTCTGTGGCTTGCTCTCTGGTGCCCTCCGCAATACAGCAGCGGAACAAGAGTGTCGACGAACTGAGTAAAAAATCCCAGAAGTGGGATGAAATGAACATCGTGGCGACATATTATATAGAAGACGAAGATTTAATTAAAGTACATGAACCAAGCACTCCAGAAAATAGCATGGAAAGTGATGAAGGTGCTCTGTGTGATTCAGAAACCATTGAAGTCCTGAACCCAGAGATATTAGCTAAGAAATTAGCTGCTGCTAAAGGCTCAAAGCCAAAGTATCTGGTTCGTGAACAAGAAAACAGTGAAGATGAAGACAGCGACTTCTCAACTGAAGGTAAAAAGTCTTTATTGACTACCTGCTGTTTATTCTTTTTCAGGTGCTCTGTAGGAAATGAGCAGGGGGGAGAAAAGACCCAGCTTCACAGAATTTCCAAACGAGTTAGTGAAAAACAGCTAGAGTTTGAAATGAAAAGGAAGCTTCATGATAATGAAGGACTTAATCTTAAATTAGCTAGGCAATTAATTTCAAAAGAACTACTTGAGTTGGAGGAAGATGAAGAAATATCAACAACTGCAGCTGGAAAAAATATGAATATGGAAGAATCAAATCAAGGATCTACTACAGGTGACCAACTGCAAAACAAATCACAGAGTTCATAGAAGAGATTTGTTCAACACTGTGACTGCCTGATACAAACCCTATTACTATATCATACTGCTTCCTGTTCGCTACAATTCATGACTTAAGTACCAAAATGCACGCCAGTTATTATATGGAGCCAATAATTAAATAACTTTAGAGACTAAGTAGACTGAAAATGCCTAATTGATACATATTCTTGTGCCTATTACTCACTACAAATACAGCATAATATCAGTCCAAAACTGTACTACTTTTGTAAGAACACTCGTTAATTTGCATAAGATATTATATAGCTTATGATGCTTTAAAGGTTAAACAATATCTTGGGGAGGGCATCTAATTTATTTTCTTCACTTCTAGATGTAATAGCTCTTATAAAATATCAAAATCCTATTGGATTATATAGGCTGATAAATACTCAGTCTGAAAAGTATTTTAACACATGTCTCAACTTGATTTGTTTATTTGAAAAGGATTATGATAGGAGTTACTGTTGCATTTTCTGGCCTACTACCTTTAAAATTCCTTTTGAGTTGCTTTATGTTTAAAAGGAAAGAATTAAACTGTTTCCCACTGCCCTGGACAGTTTGGCTCAATGGATAGAGCATTGGCCTGCAAACCAAAAGGTCCCAGGTTTGATTCCAGTCAAGGGCACATGCCCAGGTTGTGGACTTAATCCCTAGTGGAGAACTTGCAGGAGGCAGCCAATCCATGATTCTCTCTCATCATAGATCTTTCTATCTCCCTCTTCCTTCCTCTCTGAAATCAATAAAAATATAAAAATATTTTTAAAAAATAAACTGTTTCCCACCAAACTAGTTTTATTGCCCTTGCCGTGTAGCTCAGTTGGTTGGATCATTGTCCCATACACCAAAAAGGTTGCAGGTTCGATTCCCGGTCAGGGTACATATGGGAAGCAGCTGATCAATGTTTCTCTCTCTCCTTTCCCCTCTCTCTAAAATCAATAAACACATCCTCAGATGAGGATTAAAAAAAAAACTAGCTTTATTCACAAATAAATTATCAGGTTAAATTTACACTAACATCTGACTTCAGATCAGTTTTTAAAAATAAATATAATAATATAGTCTCAGCATTCCCTTTATATGCCTGTCTTAACCACATGCCTTTGTTTCTTATTTCTTTCCACATATATACACACAATAATCTTTAACCTTTACATTAGTAAAGGTTCATAAAGATTGTCATGACATTAGGAACTCTTCTTTCTCTCATATATTCTATCATGTACTACAACAATGAAAATTTTATTTTGACTATCAATGCTTATTTTTTTTCTTCTAATACATGGAGAAAACAGATTTAATAGCAGCAATACTACAGGAAATACAATTCAACTGCAGAATTTCTACACTGTTCTGATTTTAGCTTGCTAATTAAATTGCTATTACTAGTTTACTATCTGACTTAAACAGACCTTAGGATACAACTGAGATTTTTTTTGTATGATGGGATAATTGTGTGTAGCCAGTAAAATAATGATAGTTCCTGAATGTACAGACAGAAGTAATCCTGAAAGTATTTTAATTTAAAAACTTTAATCCCTGCTTTAAGGGAATATGATAATGTATACTATGACAAATGTACTTTATTCTCCTAACACTGTAAGATTGAGACCCCCCCCACCTCTGGAATGAAGTGCAATTCCTGTGTATCTTGGTTTAGTGATAATTGCACTTTTAGTCAATTATTTGTATCTTAAAATTTTTTTATTATCCAAAGAATCCATTATATGAACAGACTTTAAAAAAAATTAAATATATTTTTATTTATTTCAGAGAGGTTGGGAGAGAAAGATAGAAATATCAATGATGAGAGAGAATCATTGATTGGCTGCTCCTGTATGCCCCCTATTGGGGATCAAACCCACAACCAGGGTATGTGCTCTGACTGGGAATTGAACTGTGACCTCCTGGTTCATAGGTCGAAGCTCAACCACTGAGCCGCACCAGCCCAGGTTGAACAAACTTTTAAAATAATTTCTGTATATTGTATATATAAAATGGCTTTTATTGTACAGATTATCTTCCACTTACAAGTTTATGGAAATATCAAAATATGTCAAAATAAATAAAAAGTAGGAGAAAAAATAAAACTATATTACAAAACTATAGTAATTGAAACAGTATGATATTGGCATAAAAACAGACACATATCAATGGAACAGAATAGAGAATCTAGGAATAAACCCACCAATATATGGTCAGTTAATTTATGACAAAAGAGCCAAGCATTCAATGGGGAAAGTATAGTCTCTTCAATAAATGGTGTTAGGAACACTGGACAGCCACACGCAAAAGAATGAAATTAGACTCCTATCTTACATCATATATACAAATCAATTTAAAATGGATTAAACTTGCCCTAGCCTGTTTGGCTCAGTGGATAGAGCATCGGCCTGTGGACTGAGAGGTCCCGGGTTCGATTCCGGCCAAGGGCATGTACCTTGGTTGCGGGCACATCCCCAGTGGGAGGTGTGCAGGAGGCAGCTGATCGATGTTTCTCTCTCATCGATGTTTCTAACTTTCTATCCCTCTCCTTCCCTCTCTGTGAAAAATCAATAAAATATATTTAAAAATAATAATAAAAAAAATAAAAATGGATTAAACTTAATTTAAAACCTGACATTGTAAAACTAGAAGAAAACCTAGCGGGTATGCTCCTTGACATCAGTCTTGGCAATGATTTTTTGGATTTGACACCAAAGTACAAGCAACAAAAGCAAAACTAATAAGTGAGATTATGTCAAGTTAAAAGCACAGCAAAGCACAACAAAATAAAAAGGCAACTTACAGAATGGGAGAAAATATTAGCAAATAATATATCTGATAAGGGGTTAATATCCAAAATATATAAAGATATAAACTCACACAACACAATAGCAAAACAATCTGATTTTAAAAATGGGCAGAGAGCCCGGCTTGTGTGATTCAGTGGTTGAGCGTCAACCTATGAACCAGGAGGTCATGGTTCGATTCCCAGTCAAGGCACATGCCTGAGTTGCGGGCTCGATCCCCAGTAGGGGGTGTGCAGGAGGCAGCCAATCAATGATTCTCCTCATTGATGTTTCTATCTTTCCCTCCCTCTCCCTTCCTCTCTGAAATCAATAAAAATATGTATTTTTAAAAACAAGCAGAGGAACCAAATAGGCATTTTTCTAAAGTAGACATATAGCCCTGACTGGTTTGGCTCAGTGGATAGAGCATCGGCCTGTGGACTGAAAGGTCCCAGGTTCGATTCCGGTCAAAGGCATGTACCTTGGTTGCGGGCACATCCCCAGGAGGGGGTGTGCAGGAGGCAGCTGATCGATGTTTCATCAGAATGTTTCATCAGATGTTTTCATCAATGTTTCTATCTCTCTCCCTTCCTCTCTGTAAAAAATCAATAAAATATATATATATATATATATATATATATATATATATATATATATATATATATATATATATATATATATAAAAGAAGACATATAGATGGCCAACAGGCACATGAAAAGGTGCTCAACATCACTAATCATCAAGGACATGCAAATCAAAACCACAATGAGGTATTACTTAAAGCCTGTTACCAAAAATACAAGACAAGTGTCGGCAAGGATATGAGGAAAAGGAAACCCTTGTGCACTGTTGGTAGGACTGTAACTTGGTGCAGCCACTATAGAAAACAGTATGGAGGTACCTCAAAAAATTAAAAATATAACTACCATATGATCCTGAAATTCTACTTCTGGGTATATATCCAAAGGAAAAAAACAGGATATTGAAGAGATGTTCACTGCAGCATCATTTACAATGGTCAAGATATGGAAACAACCGAAGTGTCTGTCTGTCAATGGATGAATGAATAAAGAAGATGTGATAAAGAAGATAATTCAAACATGAAAAAAGAAGGAACTCCTGCCATTTGCAACAACATGGATGGACCTTGAAGGCATTATGCTAAATGAAATAAACCAGACAGAGAAAGATAAATACTGCATGGCATTCACTTATATGTGGAATCTAAATAAGAAATCAAACTCATAGAAACAGAGTAGAAAATTGGTTGGCGGGGGCTGGGAGCCGAGGGCAATAGGGAAAGGGTTAAAGTACAAAGTTTCAGCTATAAGATGAATAGTCTGAGGATCTAATGTATAACAAGATGACTACGATTAGTAATACTGCACTATGTAACTGAAATTCGCTAAGAGAGTAGAACTTAAATGTTCTCAGACATATACAAAAAAGATAAATGTGTGGTGATGGATGTGTTAACCAATTGAAAGGAATCCTTTCACAATGTATTCATCTATCAAATCACCATGATGTATACTTTAAATAGTTTACAAGTTTGTCAATTATACCTCAATAAAGCTGGAAAAAAAAACCCCACAAAAAAAGTAAAAATCTTTTTCAAGTTAAAAAAAAAGTGCCATATTAAGTTTATACTGTATAGTCCTACTTTAAAAAACAAATAAAAAACTGACCTTGATTATAGCTAGGGTGACCATATATCCACGTGTGTCTGGAACAGACCTGAAATAACTGATAAAGTTCCTCTTTCCTTTTCAAAAGTAACCAAGCCCAACTTATATGCCCCCCTCCCTGGGATATAATAAAGGTTAGTAGCAATAAGTGTTGAAATGAATGAGTTCTGGTCTTAGACAATTCATGGCTCTGTTCCTTTCATGCTGTGGGACTTTGGAAAAATTAATTAATCCCTGTAAGTCCTAGTTTCCTCAAGTGTAAAATGAGTTCATTCTTTCAACAAGTCTGTCTGAGTACTTATAGTGTGCCAGCACTGTTTTAGGCACTGGGGTGAAAGTATAGATGTCAGCACTTTTACTATTGAGGGAATTAGCAAATAAACGAATAACATATCTTTAATATTTCAGGTGGAAGTAAAACAGTGAACCTAGGTGAGGAATGATGGAGAGAGAGGGGAATGCTATTTTAGAAAGAAGTGTCAGGGAAGGACTGTGTTCAGAGGTATTTAAAAGAAAGTGAATGGAGTGGGAGCATAAGCTATGTGGATACTTGGCAGAGGGAAAGGCCAGTGCAAAAGCCCTGAGGCAGGAGCCACTTTGTGGATTTGAACAACAGCACAAAGGCCAGTATGGCTAGAATGGAGCAAGGGGGGCCATGATAGGACAAGCAGCTGGCGAGTTGGGAAACGGTTGAGTAGTCATCTCCTGAGGTTGCTGTGATGATTAAACAAGATAATATATTTAAACCTCTTAACTCAGGATTATGTGCTCCAATAATCGGTAGTTAGCATTATTTTTGAAATGTTGTACATAACTTAAAAAAGATCACTTAAAATATGGTGTGTGTGTGTGTGTGTGTGTGCGCATCCAAAAGCATTTAACAATTTGGTTCTTAGATTAAAAACAGAGATTTTTTTCCTTTCTTTCTAGATATAAATACAGGCACATCTGTCTCCATTATTTTGAAAGAATTCATGGCAGGAATTCCTCAGAAATCCTCTTCTGTGCCCCTACAGAGAAATGCTATTTCCAACTTCCATTACTCCCTCTACAAAGAACTGGTAAACACTAACATATACAAATAAAAGGAGATGGACAAGGAGAAGCATCCTTACGTTGTATCGCACGTCTAGGCCATCATAGCTTAGGGGCTGCTTTTGCTGCAGCCTCAGGTCTCCGTTCACATATAACTGGGACCCTGGAATAGCGAAGGAGGATTGAAGAAATGCCATGCTCTGCATCACGAAGGTTGACATCCTCTGAAATCATTAGAGGGAGAGACAAGATCAGTTTCAGTCAGATCTTAAGGGCTCTGGGTTCTAAGCGTCACCTGTCTGTGGTGGAAGCCTAACAGTCCCCCACATACCTGGCTTGGCCATGCAGGCAGAACTCTGCCCAGAACCCTCGGAACTCTTCAGAGATTGTATAAATTAATATGGCCCTAATGAAAAACATTTGACCTGCCCAAGTTAAACCCCAACTGTACCTCAGAAAAGAGCCTTTTTCTACAGTGTGGGTTTTCCTAGAAATCAGAAAGAGGGATCTGTTCTATTAAAAGACAAAAGGGAGAGGACAGGCTTCCCTCAGGAATTGACTCACATGCAATTGGTAGGAGAAAGTCAAGATGAGTTGCACACCAAGAACATGCTCCGTGGACTGCAGGGGAAGCTCCAGTTTAAAATGTAGCATGTCCATTTTCCCGTCCTGGTTTCTGTCTTCTTCTCTAGTCTAAGAAACCCAGCGACCCTTATTAAGTCGGGAAGAATCCATATTACTATTGTACATACACAATGAACCACTGTCCTGCGATACACAGGTATTAGCTCCCTCATCAGAAGAAAAATGCATAGGTATAAGGGATCAATATTGGAGAGAGACACAATGTGCATGGCCCCTGAACTTCATACGTGTGCTTCTCAAATATTCAAGGGCCAAAGTGAACAGGAATTTGAATAGGTAACAACAACAACAAACAACTGATGGTATTTTTCTTTTTCGGTCTCATTTGATATTTTTGTTTGTTTGTTTTGTTGCTGGCATCTTTTCATTTTTACAAACAGGCTGGAGCTGGTATGGAAAGTTTAAGTAGCATATCAGAATTATTTTCTACTTGTCTAGAAAAGAAAACTAATACGAATCATTATGCATTCCCCAGATTCAGCAGAAAAACACCAAGCTCTATTTATACATTACATCCTTTAACCACGAGTGTCTTTGCTGCAAATTCTCAGTATTGGACTGCATCTCATCATTGTCAGGACTTTAAAGCCTAGCGTACTTTTAGTGCCAATCAATAAAGCAAAAAAGGAAGCTCGGGAAAATCAGTAAGCCATTAAAACTACAGATACTTCATAAATTATGTACATGAAAGTAGGGAAAACAGATCTTAGGAGGGAAAAAGACAAATTACAGCTCATAAAAAAAACACTGGTACCCAATCTTGTCATCCATAGTCTTGCCTCTTAGTGATCCTACTACGACTAGCAGGAAAGGATGGCTACAGAAATGTGATCGCTGCTGACACCATTCCTTGGCACGCTCTGGATCTTGTTACTACAACTGATCCTTTCCCAGTGTAGGTTCCCAGAAGGATTTTACTATGGTGTATCAACATTCCCATCTGAATTCTCCATCTACTGATTCATTTTTCTTTCCACCAATACCATTATGCAAGGAAGAGATTCTTTGTTCTTTTTTCAGGCTAATAAGGTCGTTTTAAGATGGAGCTATCTCAGTTTTCAGAAACTTTCAATTGCTTCTTTCCTTCTAGACAATAATGTCCTTATCCTCGGCCTTGTTATAGAGAAACTCGCCCTCTGTCTTCTGTTGGATACTATTTTCACTGTCCTATTCCATCAACTTTGCAGGTGCAGCAGAGGGATATCTGTTACTCAGACTGATGATCAAATTACTGAGGCAATTATGTATTAGCAATTATGGTTAGGATAGAAAAGAGTCTGCCTTGTCTTTCTGTGAATCTTTCTTAGTTGGTATCTGGGAAGACTTGGAAGACAAAGTCGGGTTAACTCTCTGGGGTGGATCTATGCCTTCTGGATCCTTAAGTTAAACAGGAAAACAAAGATCAAATGTCTCAACTTGCAAGGGAGGATAGTGGGTAGGAGGGAATTGCCAGAATACAGACCCCAACACAGCGTGGGAGATAAAAGCAATTCATTTGATCTTTAAAATAAGTCTAAGGTAAGCAGAGCAAGTATTATCCCCATTGTACAGATGAGAAAATCAAGGTTCAGGGAGGTGAAGGGATTTATTGGTACAGCTAGTAATGGGGATAAGAGATGATATAAAAGGTGCATCTCCCTCAACCGAAGGACTTGTATGCATGCATATAAGCATAACCAATGGACATAAGACACTGGGGGGTAGGGGAGGCCAGGGGATTGTCAAGGGCGGGGGAAAAAAAAAGGAGACATATGTAATACTCTATGTAATACTGTAAGCAATAAAAAAAAAAAGGTGCATCTCCCACAATGACCTGTCACCAAGTTAGAATCTCATTCCCCTAAGGATGCCAAGGTGGGCTACATTCTATGCTATCACTTGGACCACTAATGAAATCAATTATTTAATTCCATTTATTCCAAATCAATCTTAACACATGTGCAAAAGCTATAAAGGGAGGCATTCAAAGAACTAATACTTCTTTAACACAAGTTCAAGGTTATTATCTAAAATCAAATTGATGTGTCTGGCCATGATAATTCATAAATCACACCATCATCTTATTTCTATAAGGTATATGTGCAATTTGGAACAATGTTAATATCCACTGGTTGTTTCAACTAGTCCCATTGCATATCCCAGGACATATAAGAATATTAATAATAGTAATAATTAGAGAGGTAGGTACTATCGTGTTCTTTTTTTAAAAAAATATATTTATTGATTTTTTACAGAGAGGAAGGGAGAGAGATAGAGAGCTAGAAACATCGATGAGAGAGAAACATCGATCAGCTGCCTCCTGCACATCCCCCACTGGGGATGCGCCCACAACCCAGGTACATGCCCTTGACCGGAATTGAACCTGGGACCCTTGAGTCCGCAGGCTGACGCTCTATCCACTGAGCCAAGCCGGTTTCGGCACTATCGTGTTCTTTATTTAGTTACATTGAGGCCGAGAGAGGTTATGTAATCCAATGACAGAATTGAGGCTAGGACTTAGGAATAGCCCACAAGAACCCCAATTTCAAAGATTTCTGGTAGTTAAAGAAAGGTAATCTTTTCCAGGTATATATGAAATCAATACCAATATACTAGGTCGGATAAATATAGGCATTGTTGCATTTAGTCAGTGCATATCAGTCAGTCTACCTGTACCAATCAGGAAAACAGAAACTAAACAGTTATTTTAACAGAGGGAATTTAGTATAGGGGATAATTGGTAGCATAAGGGGATGAAAAAGGCAAAAAGGGAATGCTGTGATAACACAGAGAGGGTAACTGCAGGAAGCAGCTCCCGTGCCTGGAGCTGGAGCAGGAAGGGAAGAGGCTGGCATTACCACCAGGAGCTGGGACTCAGGCCTCAGGAAGGAAGCGCTTCCCAGCTGACACTGATACCTCTAGAGCTTTGGAGGAGGAAACCATGAGAGGGAATGGATAAGGCTGGAGGAAAGACTCACTCTTTCCTGTTTGTATCACCCTGGCACTGGTTCTTCAACTGGCAGTAGCAACTGGTTGCAGTTTCTAGTTTTTTCCTACTCCTAGAACAAGGCTCGTCATGCCTCCTACTGGCAGAGCCTAACAGGGAGTCAGTGGGCAGAAGAGAATGTGGTTTTCATCATCTCAGTGTGAGCATCACAAAGCAGAGATAGGAGGGCGGCTTTGGAGCTGACACAAGACTAAAAAAATGCACCATCTGACTGTAAGAGTTGCTATAAATTAAGGAGTGAAATTGTTTCCAAATGCCCTGACTTGCAATATTTTCCCCACCAAGTATCTCATTGTTTGTTTTTACACCATTCATTCTGTTGAGTAATATTCTTTCTTTTTTTTAAATATATTTTATTGATTTTTTTACAGAGAGGACAGGAGAGGGATAGAGAGTCAGAAACATCGATGAGAGAGAAACATCGATCAGCTGCCTCCTGCACACTCCCCACTGGGGATGTGCCCGCAGCCAAGGTACATGCCCTTGACCGGAATTGAACCTAGGACCCTTGAGTCTGCAGGCCGACACCCTATCCACTGAGCCAAACCGGTTAGGGCAATATTCTTTTATTATAAAGGTTAATTTCCTAGTTTATACCAGTGTTCATTTTACCATATATTTGTCATTGAATGTTCTGGTTTTTTCTTTTTTTTAAAAAAAAATATATTTTATTGATTTTTTACAGAGAGGAAGGGAGAGAGAGATAGAGAGTTAGAAACATCGACGGGAGAGAAACATCGATCAGCTGCCTCCTGCACATCTCCTACTGGGGATGTGCCCGCAACCCAGGTACATGCCCCTGACCGGAATCGAACCTGGGACCTTTCAGTCCGCAGGCCGACGCTCTATCCACTGAGCCAAACCGGTTTCGGCCTGGTTTTTTCTTTTTGTGCTGAAAATACTCTTTGGCATTACTCTTTGGGTCTCCTAAAAATAGGGACCACTACTTCAGGACTCCTAGACTCATCAAATCCTTACTACCTGTATTTCAATGAGTCTAAGATGTCATCCTATCTAATAACAGACAAACACGGTAATTGACCGTACCTTCGCTACGCCTCCCATGGGCTAATCAGCGCGGTATGCAAATTAACTGCCAACAAAGATGGCAGCTAATTTGCATACTGCAGGCAGGGCGGGACAGCGCGATCCCGCCTGCCCCGCCACCATCCGGGCCTGCTATTTGCCACCAGGGCAGAGGGCAGGACAGCGCCATCCCGCCTGCCCTGCCACCATCCAGGTCTGCTATCTGCGACCTGTAGTGGCGGGGCGTCCCATGTGTGACCTGATCCGGGCAGCCGGGCGGTTCAGCAGCAATCAGCTGGCCCGCCCAGGCGTCCCGTGTGCGACCTGACCCGGGGAGGCACCCCAACCCCCGGATAGGCCCTGCCCTGTGCGCGACCTGGGGTGGCGGGGCAGGCATCGAGGGATCGGGCCTGCTATCTGCCACCCGGGGAGTGGGCCTAAGCCAGCAGGTGGTTATCTCCCAAGGGGTCCCAGACTGTGAGAGGGCACAAGTGGGGCTGAGGGACACCCCCCTACCCCTGCCAGTGCACAAATTTTTGTGCACCGGACCTCAAATCAATTATAAAATGCACCACCCACCAGCCTCCACCACACACATACCCTTCCCATCCCACCAATAGAGTTAAACTCTCATTTCACTGTAAATCCTATTCACAACTTTAATGACCTTTCTCACTTTTCCCTTATTTTTTATTTCTCTAAAGTTAATAAGTATTTTATTTGCTTGCTTAGTTTTCTATTTACTTATACAATTTCAACTATCAGCTTCTATTGAAATTCCTCACAATTTGATGTTTATTCAAAATCTAAAAAACAAAAAACAAAAAACAAAAAAAAAAAAAAAGAAAAAAAAAAAATCTAGTTCATGCCTGGGCCAGTATTGCTCAATGGTTGAGTGTCAACTCATGAACCAAGAGGTCACCATTTTTTGTTTTTAAGATTTACAAAAAATGTATTTTTATTGATTTCAGAGAGGAAGGGAGAAGGAGAGAGAGATAGAAACATCAATAGTGAGAGAGAATAATTGATTGGTTGCCTCCTGCACAGCCCCCACTGAGGATGGAGCCCACAACCCAGGCATGTGCCCTTGACCAGAATTGAACCCAGGACCCTTCAATCCACAGACCAACGCTCCATCCACTGAGCCAAACCGGGTTGGGCAAGAGGTCACCAATTTGATTCCCGGTCAAGGATTATGTCTGGGAAGGGCTCGATCCCCGGTGGGGGGCATGAAGGAGGCAGCCAATCCATGTTCCTATCTATCCCTCTCCCTTCCTCTCACTCTAAAATCAATAAAAACATTTTTTTTAAAAAAAACAACTTGTTCATGGCAACAAGTGAAAAAGTGAAATCAAATCAAATATCCAATAACAGGGAACTGGTCAAATCCATCACAGTTGTTCCATATCATGAAATACCTTGTAGATCTTAAAAAGAATAAGGTTGATTAACAAGTATTGATACATACCCCAAACTGAGCCTTTAATTTTATGTCATTATATATACCAGTAACTTTAACATTTTACAATAAGCATGCAATTTTATAATCAGAAAAATATAAGAAAATGTAATCAGAAAAAAACTTGAATCGTATTTTGTGTGTCGTTATTCATATAACTAATCAGATTTAATTTTTTTTTCATTTTATTTAGTTGCTGGGGGGGGGGGGGGAAGTCTGAGTTATTTTTTTTTTCCAGCTACACAAGTTTGGCTTGCAGGCCAATAATCTCAGAGATGTCTGCTGAGATTAAACTTTGGAAGAAGGAAACCAGAATTTTCATATTTCTAAAGGGAAATGTTTTCAAAACATGAGTGTTTGTAAAGGAAGCACTCACTTACCTGAACCGAATACTAAATTACAGACAGTAAAATGCTTCCTTTTCCTTCTGGACAGCTACAAGATGGAACAGTGGCATCTAATAAGACCAGCCCGGGAGGCGGGAGGGCATTCCCGGAGGTCGTGTAACCAATCAGGGCCGGGGCTTCCCAGGGTCAAGCATAAAAATGCCTGCTCCTTCCGTTCGAGTGTTTGGATGCACAATTGCAGCAGCACTGAGGGTTGCAACAAGAACACTGCTGGTCCTCCATGACCCATAGCGGAGCTTTCGCGACCACCTTTCTATCAGGCAGCCCACGGAAATGACGGGGGCTGCAAACAAGCGGCCGCAGGCTTCTGGACTCGGTGCCAGGTAGCACGCTGACAGCGGCTGCTAACTTTCTTGGGGTTACGGGCAGCTTGGAGAAATCGAATGAAATAAGAGATTTACTCCCCAGGAGGTTAAGCCTATGTTCAAACCACTGAGCCTGTGTACACCACTTACCGTGGGATCGAGGACCCTGAAGACCTAAGCTGGGGCTCCCACGGGGCCGGGCGCTCGCCCTCTCCTACCCCCGCTCCCGCCCCTACCTCCACCCAGTCCGGGTGGGCAGCTGGGCCCCGGCAGGAACCACGCACCGAAACGAGCGGGACGCGCAGATGATCCCCCTGCAGCCGGTTGAAGGCGGGGAACGTGCTCCAGGCGAGGAACCCGCCGCGCTCGGATCCTAGCAGGGCCAGGAGCAGTACCTGGTGCTGGAAGCGCACAGTCGGCTGCTCCTCGTAGCTGCTCCGCTTCAGCCAAAACCCTGAGGTGAAAAGGGCGGGAAGGCGGTGGGGAGGATGTCAGCAAGGCCGGCGCGGCTGCGGCGGGCCGGGCAGCTGTGGCGCGCGCCCACCGGGGGAGGCTCACCGTGGCTGCGGAAGGCCACCAGCAGCGGCGGGATGTACGTGAGCGCGGTGGCCAGCAGCAGGAACAGCGCGGCCTTGGAGCAGAGCCCCGCGCGGTAGCCGCGCTCGACCGGCTGAGAGAAGAGCTCGTAGAGCGCCATGAGCACAGCGCCGAGAGAGTCCGCCCCGCCTAGAGTCTAGAGACCCCTTGGCGGTAGCGAAGGGATGAGCAAGTTTGGCTTCTCCTGGTTGCCATAGCCTTGGTCTCCACGGCAACGGACGGCGCAGGGAAGGGAACCAATAGCAAGGACGCGGGGCCTCGGTGGGCGGGGAGCTGACGAGGGGCGGTGCCCACTGGGACGGTTGGCCTCGCTTTACACATTACGTGCGTTTTCCCGAAGGCGGAGTGGGAATACGTTTCTGTGCACCAAAATCGTAGCTGTCGTGTTAATGTGTGTGAAATAAGATTTTCATAAAAGTTGACCCGAAGTTAAATATTTGTGCGTCTTTCATTAAATATGAATCAATGGTTCATACTTGAGTTCAACCAGGCCCGAAACACCCTGCATTGAAGGAAAGCACAGAACATCATTGTGTCCGTGATCTCGGACCTGGTCCTGGGCTAAGACCAAGATCAGGCCCCTTTGTCTCCAAATTTCCTGTTGCTTTCACTATACGGCAGCATAGGCTCGGAAACAGGACACAAATCTCCCGGTTCTTCGTGGGATAAAGAATAATTACCACATAGCTCTCTCGGTCATACTTTGTTACCCTGATTGGGCACAAGCTTGTCTCTCGGTTTTAGGGGAAGCTGTGATCCTCCCCAAAGATAACACTGGCTTATCACTGAATTGAGTGCCCCAATCCCCGGCTGTAAGCCAGTATTTCAAACATGGCAGAAATTTTCTCTTTTTAAAAACCATGGTTCACATCCAAGTTCATCAAAAGGCCTTGAAGGGTCACATTACAGTGCCAAGAGAGAGTGTGGAGTCCAGTAGTTGAGGCCCTTATTTTGAAGGCAACCTAGAAGTGGCTTTTTGATTAAGAGAACAGCTGAGATCCTAACAGAAAAACAGAGAGAGGTCAAGACCTGCCCTTCTTTAAAAATGATCCAGGTTCCTCACCACAGTCCAAAATGACAATGTCATCAGCCAAAAGATGCTTTTAACCTCTGGTCCAGCACTACTCATTCTTGCTTTAAAGCTTTTCTGGGATGGCCACAAAACTCTTAAAGATAGTAATTGTATTTCTTAAATCTTGTTATGATTCTGAAATTACAGTATATTGTATCTATGCTTTAAGTAGATGTCTTTCATTCAATTAAATACCCATCAAAATAAGATGGTTCTAGAATAGATGGTTCTAGTCCAGTGATGGCGAACCTTTTGAGCTCGGCGTGTCAGCATTTTGAAAAACCCTAACTTAACCCTGGTGCCGTGTCACATATAGAAATTTTTTGATATTTGCAACCATAGTAAAACAAAGATGTATATTTTTGATATTTATTTTATATATTTAAATGCCATTTAACAAAGAAAAATCAACCAAAAAAATGAGTTCGCGCATCACCTCTGACACGCATGTCATAGGTTCGCCATCACTGTTCTAGTGTCATCTTCTGAGGGTGGCTCTGCTCTGAGGAAGGAGATGTTTGCCTTCAAGGCTCCTTCTTTCAGCAGAAGGAAACACACACATTGTAGCTAGTGTTAGCTTAGTCACTGCTGAAACAGGGAGGTGACTGCCAAGAATTTAGGTGTATGAAGTGTTTCAGCCGCCCCTGAGATGCCATGAGTTTCCAAAACTATCTATATAATAAAAGGCTAATATGGAAATTGTCCCGTTTGACCAGGGGGTGGGGCCATCCGGCCAACTGCCTATGGTCCCTCCCCCAGCCCAATCGGCCTGGACTCCACCTGTGCATGAATTTATGCACTGGGCCTCTAGTCTATAATAATAAAAGCGTAATATGCTAATTAGACCAGACATCCTTCCGGATGAAGCCGGGGCTGCGAGGGAAGCCCTGGTCCCGGGTGCCAGGGAGAAGCCGGTGCTGGCAGCCAGGGGAAGGAAGGCCTACTCTTGCACAAATTTCATGCATTGGGCCTCTAGTCTAACAATAATAGATACTGATATTTACTCTTTGATGCCATGACTTGAAGAAGCTAGTCTTTGTGGTTCTATTTCAATTCTTTTAGAACATTCAATTTTTTTTAATGCTAAAGATCTGCGTATATTGTGTCATTTTTATGCATTCATGACTCAGAACTGACTTTTTGGTTTCCAAGGACAAAAAGAGTCATTCTCTGAAAGCTACATATTTTAATTATGTTCTCTTCTTTTCTAGAAGCTCCTATTCAGGGCCTTTGAGTCATGTTAGAACTCCTGAATATTTGCTTCAAGGTTTTCCAACATTTCTTGGCATTTACCTATATCACTGAACTTTTGGCTTTCCAGTTTCTTATAACTACAGCTTTTGTTTATATGTGTTAAGGAAAGATTATCCTTTGAAAAATGTAACCATCCCAAAACATAAGATTCACATTTTCTCTGAAGTCTTTCTTAATAAACCTCTCTTGGCTTTGTGTCAGCCCCATTGCCCTAAGCCATCCCTCAGTATCCCATATTCACACACCTCTCCAACATTTGAAATTTTTTTATAGGTCTGTTAATGTGTAATTGTATATATTCATTATCCTATTTCTCCTCCTAACTTACCTCTTCAACTAACCACCCCCTCAAGGAAGACATCCAGTGTCCTTAGAACATCCAATAAGCCGAATATAACTACCCAATGGGTAAAGAAGGTGATGTATATTATCAAGGCAGATCAGAGAAATTAATTAGAACTGGAAAGAGACATCATGAAAGCATGTAAAGGTAGAAAACAGAAAGACACTGTACATCATTAAGATCCTCAGGTGTCATGCCTATGGATTGGTGGGTGGTGGATTGTTCCCCAGAGAAGTGTACTAAGCTCTTCCATGTGCAAGGAGGTGTACATGCCTTGGAGTAGGACACATGACCAGCTCTGTAAAGGGAAGCAGGTGTTTCAGTCCAATTTCTAACTTCTCCACTGACTCACTATCAGATGGTGAACAACCATCTTCATTCCTCAATGTTTGTTTCTATTTGCAAATATGGCATTTACATTTTCACTCTCTCGCTAATTTAATAGCTTTAAGTACTTCTCTCCTGAATTTGAGACTCATAGAGCCACTCAATGACTCTACATCTTCATTTGCATGTGTTTCTTGGACATCTTATACTTCATATATACAAAACAAAACACTTAATTCTCACCACCCCAAGCTGAATCCACTCTATTTCAGTAAATGGCAATTCTATCCTTCCAAAAAATCTTGACTTTGACTTATCTGTCACACATCATCTCCACTCTATCAGCAAATTTTGTCAGCTCTATTTTCAGAATATATTTAGAGTACAATTGGTCTAAGCCATCATCTTTCACCTGGATTATCACAATAGCCTCTTAACTCTTCCCCTTGCTTCCCTCCTAAACCCCTTATAGTCTACTGTCTACAGGGAAGCTAGCCTGATCACTTAAAAAGGAGAGTTATATCACATCACACCTCCGCTTAACATGAAATTCAAAAGCTCAACACTTTTGGTTTCAATCTCCTTTATCTCACCTCATAACATACTCTGCCTTGTTTTTTCCGCTCCACCCACAACGGTTTCCTTCCTGCTCCTAGATTTGCCAACCACTTTATCTAATTAGCATTCTATCACTCTCTTGTCACCAACGCTGTTTTATTTTTCTAAACAGCACCCATCATTACCTGACATTTATTTTTTATCTCGTTTCACTAGAATACGAACCCCATGAGAGCAGAGGTGTCCGTTCTGTTCACTGGTTTTTCCCAAATCCCAGAACAGTGTTGCTATACACAACAATAATTTTGGGTATGAAATTCATTAAAATGAATTTTTTTCATTTCATTAAAAACAAGCAAATTGCCTTAACTGGTTTGGCTCAGTGGATAGAGCGTCGGCCTGCGGACTGAAGGGTCCCAGGTTCGATTCCGGTCAAGGGCATGTACCTGGGTTGCGGGCACATCCTCAGTGGGGAGTGTGCGGGAGGCAGCTGAATTGATGTTTCTCTCTCATCAATGTTTCTAACTCTCTATCCCTCTCCCTTTCTCTCTGTAAAATATCAATAAAATATATATATTTTTAAAAAGCAAGTAAATTAAAAACTATTTTGGTTGCTCAGACACACAATTTAAAAATAACAAAAATAATTTTAGAATGAAGTTAGATTCCACAGCATCCATCAGGAATTTCAACTATAGGAAATGATACATGACAATGTTCAAATATACAGGCCTTTCAGATGCATCAGAATCACAGGCATGTGGCAAGGATCATGTGCCCAATTAAGCAAATATTCTTGTTACATATTCACCAGCTCATAAACATATGATGATTGAGAGCCCTGATGACATCACTGGAAATCCTGAAGGCTCAGGCAGATGACACACACACACACAGAGTTTATGCTGTGATTGCTGCATCTCACACTGATGACCAAAGAAGCCCATCTCATGATCAGCTATCAGGGGAATTCTCCGAGTCTGATGGTCACCTCTAACTCCTCTGCTTGTTAAAGTTAAAGGGTCTCTCTGTGATCGGTGTAATGTTACAGTCCTCGAATGCACATTTCTGATAACGCTTCTTAAATATTTATTCAAACACGTATTCATGAATAAAGGAAAGAAACTGGATTTGTTTAAATTGAATTTCTAGGTCCAAGCCAACCTGTTATGGCTCCTCTTAATACTGAACTCTATGGAGCCCCCAACCTGTTACTCCACATAGTACTTCCCAAACCGTCAGTGCCCAACAGAACCCCCCTCCCGCCATCACTAACCACCAGAGACTCCTTTTCTGTCATTCATACCCGTCCCCCCCCCCCAAATGCCCCTCTTGTCACTGAGGCCCCAGTCAGACCTCCCTCTGTAAGAGCCCTATCCGACCAGCCAGACCCTCACCCTCTCCCCCTTAGCAACGTCACCGAGACCCGACTCCTATTACCCATTCCCGAATATCCCCTCCCACGTCGCCAGTGTCCCTCACGGACGCCCCTTTCTTTCACGTCATCAACTCCACTCCCGAGCTGACACCCCGCGGCGCCCTCCCCTGCCCCGCCCCTGGCGTGCGGCCCCACCCCTTGGAGCGGCCACCAGACCAACAGCGCCGGAAGCCCCGCCCCCGGCCGGTTGCTAGGCTCCGGCAGCCGGAAGTCCCGCCTGTCGTGTAGTCACCGCCGCCGCCGTCGCTGTCGTTGTTGTTGTGGTTGGTGCTCTGA